GTCCCCAGGGAGGACCTGTCAATCTTCCAGAGTGACAGGCTCTGATGACTCCTACCTCCCCCCCCCCAGAGACTCAGTGATCCGGAAGCCCTGGGCTGTGACGGATGGATGAGTATCGCTTGCTGACGGCCTGCCCGGCCTTTCCCACTTCCTGCCTGGAACATCACCACCATCATTATTCAAGGACAACGATCAATAGTCCAAGACCGTCCAAAGTGCATGAATAATTCTCCATCCCAGCCTGGTGGAGGCTGGAGGATCCATCACAAGGCGGGGGACTGGCTGAAAAGGTTAGGGGAGGTGTTACCCGTTGTTCCCTCGTTTCGCAAACATCTCTGCACTGATCGCACACGTGTTTTATCGCATGCTCTGTTCAAGAAACACAGCGAGGGATTCAGACAACCAGGGCTGTGCTTAGAAATGCTCAACGGGGAAAAAGAAGAGGTCCAAAAGACACAGCACACGTTTTCTTTACGATGCTATTAAACACTGATCGCGATTGTGTGTTATGCAGTTCCTGATCCTTACAATCCGAAGCCTGGGAATAACTAACTTTGTGTCCGACATCCAGCCTCTGAGTTAGTAGTTTTATTACTATTTCATTCAATACTAATTCATTTTTTTTTTCTTTTTGTTGGTTGTGGGGCTTGAACTCAGGGCCTGGGCGCTGTCCCTGAGCTTCTTTGACTCAAGTTGAGTGCTCTACCACGTAGAGCCACAGTACCACTTCTGGTTTCCTGGTGGTTCATTGGAGATCAGAGTCTCCCAGACTTTCTTGCCCAGGCTGGCTTTGAACCATGATCCTCAGATCTCAGCCTCCTGAGTAGCTGGGATGCCAGGCCTGAGCACCAGCGCCCAGCCAGCCAGTGTTTACTTAAATTAACGAATGAAAGTATTTAAACTTAGTAGTAGCTTATTTAAACGAAACTAATTTGGGTTAAATCGTTTCAATTAAATAAACCTGGCATGGGCCACGTTCAGGGAGAGTCAAAGTCAGAGGGATGCTTCAAGAACGGGTCTCACGTAGGAGTTTAGTCTTTCAGGTTTCTTCTTGGCTGGAAAAAAAACCCCAAAAAGGCCAAACGTAGAAAGAGCTAGAAGCTCTTTGAAGATGAGGAGTCAGGCTCTGGGAACCCACAGGAGACAGAGTTCTGAATAAGAATGGACAAGAAAAGGGTTAGTATCTATAACATAAGCCCCCAAAATGATGACTTACAGCCAGCTGGTGAGAAACGAAGGGCTGGATGTGGATGTGAGGTAGAAATGAGCACCGTTACTCATGGGATCGACCCCAAATGAAGGAAAGGAAGGGGGGCCGTGAAGGGGCACACTGGTCTAGATGCATTGTATTGACACACCTCCTTTGCACAAGTAAAGATAATAAAGCTTATTCAACACACACAGGTATATATATATATATATATATACTGGTCTATATACACATACTTATATATACATTTATTATATATATTTATAGATAAAGGTGTATATATACACACACAAATACAGCCCATCATCCACAATTACTGGCGTATATATGTATGCATATGTATATATGTATGTATATGTATATCTGTATGTATATGTGTATATATATATATATACACACTGATATAAATATATACTGGCAACACATATATGTATATACATATACATATATATGTATATAAACATATATACACATACATATATACATATATATGTTACACATATGTATATATAACATATATGTGTGTGTGTATATATATATATATATATATTACCAGTACCTGTGGATGAATGGGGGATATTTGTATGAGAAAAATAATCTCAAGAATCTCTCTTCGGTGACTGGATTTGATGTGTGGCGAGGAAGCACTAACGGTTAGAACGTGGGTTCTCCAGAGTCGAACGTGACAGTTGGGGCGCTGGCAGTAAATGAAAATGGAATATGGAACGTAGTTTATAGTGCCAGGGGCACGCCTTACATCCCAGCGACTCAGGAGGCTGAGATCTGAGGATCGCAGTTCAAGGCCAGCCTGGGCAGGCAAGTCCCTGAGACTCTGATCTCCCATGAACCACTGAGAAAAAGCTGGACGTGGCACTGTGGCTCAAGTGCTAGCCTTGAGCCAAAGCAGCTCAGGGACAGCGCCCAGGCCCTGAGTTCAAGCCCCAGGATCAGCACATAAAAAATCTAAAATAAAAGGACTCATGTTGAAAACGCAGTAACGTGGGAGACTCAAGGTCTAGATCATCTAAGTGAAGTACTTTAGCCTCTTTTCCAAAACCTCGTATTGATTTCAGCGAGAGGCACAGGAAGATGAGTCAGCCATATTACACGGTTTGCGTTTTCAGCCATAGAGCAAAGCTAACGAGCGTGGTTCATCACCGTCTCGCCGCTGAATTCACAAGATGTTTTAGGTCAAAGCTGCCATTTATTTCCCGCTCTCATTCACACAGATGGGGCGAAGGGCTGGTGACATGTCATCAATATTGTACTCTGACCAAAAATAACCTTCCAGAATGTTCATTCTAAAACGATTCCTTTCATTCCCAAGGCCATTGGCCCCCAACAGTTTTTTTTTTGGGGGGAGTGGGGTAGGGTTGGGGAGTATCAGTTGCAGGACTTGAACTCAGGGCCTGGGCGCTGTCCCTGAGCTCTTCTACTCAAGGCTGGTGCTCTACCACTTGAGCCACAGCACCACTTCTGGCTTTTGGCTGGTTCATTGGAGGTTAAGACTCTCATGGACAATTTGATGCCCAAATTGTGAGCCTGCAGATCTCAGCTTCCTGGTGAGTGGCCAGGATTTACAGGTGTGAGCCATCAGCTTGTCCAGAACTTTCTACATTGACCTCTGACTTTTCAATTTTGTAACCAGTGCTCATGATCACAGTTTTTGCTGCTTGAAGCTTAGAAAGCCGGTCACTGACTTCTCCATACAAAAATGGCTGTGAGGGCTGGGCAGGTGGCTCAGTGGTAGAGCGCTTGCCTTGCATGCCTGAGGCCCTGGGTTCCATTCCTCAGCACCACATAAGCAAAAAGAAAAAAGCCGGAAGTGGCGCTGTGGCTCCAGTGGTAGAGCGCTAGCCTTGAGCTGAAGAGCTGAGGGACAGCACCCAGGCCCAGAGTTCAGGTCCCATGACTGGACCCCCCAAAAAAACAAAAACAAAAAACAAAAATGGCTGTGGGCCGGGCACTGGTGGCTCATGCCTGTCATTCCAGCTGCTCAGGAGGCTGAGATCTGAGGATCACAGTTCAAAGCCAGCCTGGGCAGGAAAGTCTGTGAGACTCTGATCTCCAATGAACCACTGGAAAACCGGAAGTGGCGCTGTGGCTCAGGTGGTAGAGCACCAGCCTTGAGCTAAAAAGCTGAGGGACAGCGCCCAGGCCCTGAGTTCAAGACCTATGACTGACAAAGAAAGAAAGAAAGAAAGAGAGAGAAAGAAAGAAAATCCATAGGCAATACTAAGTATACAAAAAAAAACAACCCCCAAAAATGTATCCCCCAAACTATCTGTTGAACACATACAAACAGAATTGCCAAAGTAACCCAATCTCGAGATTTCCAAAGTTGATCTTTTTTTTTTCTGTCCAAAAATATCTCCTGAAAACACAAATCAATCACACAGTCGAAGTCTTAACGTTTTTTTTGTTTTGTTTTTTAAAATTCATTTAATTTTTGGCAGTAATGGAGTTCAAGGTGAAGAGCAATGTCTTAGGCCGTGACTTCAAGACTTTTACAAGCTCAGTTTTTGGATGAGGTCTTAGAATATATATATGTTATATAAATGTAAATATTCTATATAAATATATACATATAATTTATATACATATACATTTATGTGTAATATTTAATTTATGTAATAATATATGTATATATTTATACATATATTTATAATTTATATAATATATATTATATATATGTATAATATATATAATATATATATATTTTTCCCAGCAGTTAGTCTGGACCAACTGGGAATCCTGTGACCCTTTACTCTTCCTGTATCTGGGACTACAGGTGTCTAATTCTATGCCTGGCTAATTCATGGAGATGTGTGCGTGCGTGGGATCTCATCCACGTTCTGCCTGGAATCAGGGTCCTCGCTAACCTCAACATCTGCAGGTGGAATTAAAGGCCTGCGCCACCATCCCCAACTCTATGAAAAAGCTGTTGATGGGGAACAAAAGAAAATGCGAATGATTCTACCACTATTTGCGGCCCAATGCCCGAGGAGCGATTAGAAATCAGGCTGAGAATGACAAGGAAAGCAGTCTTAACAGCTTCACGAATGGACCCCCCACACCCCCTTTATTCCCACGTGTCTTCGGCATGAAGCACTATCTCTCAGGAAACAGTCGGAAAATGTTCAACCAAATACTGAGATCGTAGTCGGGTGTTTTCCCCCCCAATAATAGAATTGGCTAGAAAAAGGAACCTTTGAAAAATGCTTTTAAGCTGGGTGTCGATGGCTCATACTGATGACAATCCTAGCGACGGAGGAGGCTGGAGATCTGAGGATTGTGGTTCGAAGGAGAGCTGTAGATCAAGTGATAGAGCACTAGTGGTTCAGAGACAGCGCCCGGGCCTTGAGTTCAAGGATCAGCACCAAACAAAGCAAAACAAAAAGTATATACATGTGTGTTTTCAAATTTATGAGCACTTCAGCTTCTCAGAAACCTTTTTTGTCTAGAGGACTGCATTCAGTCTGGGAATGGGTTGAGCATGGTAGTGTATGTCTATAATCCCAGGGGCCTGAATTCAAGGCCTCTTTCACTCAAGGCTGGTGCTCTACCACTTGAGCCACGGCACCACTTCTGGTTTTTCTGGTGGCTCACTGGAGATAAGTCTCATGGATTTTCCTGCCTGGGCTGGCTTCGAACCACAGTCGTCAGATCTCAGCCTCCCGAGTAGCTGGGATGATTGGCACTGGGTTCATATGGCTAATTTTGAAAGCAAAAAAAACCCGCGCTAAATGTTTAGGCTGTTACAATGAAGATACCCTTGGACTCGTGGTTCATAGAAAAGTACCCTTTTATTGAGAGGTAAGACAAAATGTATTTACAATATTCAATTGTTATTATTTATCATCTGACTGTGAGACTTGTTTTTTTTTGTAAAGCAGCAGTATTTCAGGAATAACAATTGATAAGGGCAAAAAAAAAAAAAGAAAGAAAGAAACAAACTCTTCAGGCTAAAGTAGCGTTAGACCTTTTCTTCCATCTTGAAAGAATCCAAATATATGTTTGTTTGTTTTTTGCCACAAACTCAAATGGGGTCGATTTGGGAAGGGACAATCCTGACAGGAAGGGGAAATGGGTTTTTAAAAAATAAAAAGAGTCTCACTAAGATTCTGAGTTAAGAAACACACGGGGAGGGAGGGCGTGGCTCACGTGGTAGAGCGCCAGCCAGTGGAGCAAAAAAAAAAAAACGTCAGGTACTGAGTTCGAATCCTGGTCTCTCAACAACAGCAATAGTAAACAGGGATAGCTGTGTGGCCCAACGCACATGGAATTCGCCATGCACCTGCCCCTTTGTGGGTCTTCATAAGGACTAGAAACGATCAGATCTTTTTAAGTCCAGCCATGTTTTTCTGCGGTAAGACGGTAGGAGAGGAGGCTTGTACAGTGTAGTGGAGCCCGATGCTATGGCTTTTCCATCGCCAACAGATGTTGCTCTGGAAACACGGGCCACGCACATCTGTCGAAGTCAGTGCTCAAACGCGATTGAATTTGACACTCTCCAAGTAACGCAATGACCTTTTGAAGACCGTCCGACACAGCCTTCCATCTGTATTCCATTTCAATTGAGGTAGGAGTCTCCATTTATTCCATCTTTTTTTTTCCTCACCAATTCCATCATGAAATCAAATCGCAAGAACCAACCACACCAGGAAAATCCACGAGAATGAACCTTTACAATGCACACCAATGCTTCACGGGTAAGATGCAGAAATGCATCCAATGCAACTACCAGTAACAAACGCTACGCTAACGTTGTGCAGACCTGTTGGCAAATAAACATCACAGCCTTCCACTGGGATGTTATTTTTCTCCTGCAGTCAAAACTTTGCGAGGGTTAAATAAAAAAATAAATAGTGCCATCGTTAGGGGTAAAGCAATTAGTGAAAATGTGGCTGTTAAAATGTACTCTGAAATCTGCCACTAAATCTACCACTGTCCAATTAAGCAAATCCTTATTATCGTCCATCAATGATGGAGGAAGAAATTAAATGAAACTCTAAGTTTTTTTTTTTTTTCTTCTGAGTATGATGTTTTGAAGAAACCATAGCCACTTTTAACTTCAACATGAGAATTTGGTATTTTCTTCACTAACTCGTGTGGACAGTGAGCTATTTGTACAGGAAAATGCTGATCATGAGGGAAAAACTCAAGATTACACAGACAGACCTCTGAAAACAGTTGTTAAGTTCTAGAACATGGTACCAATCTTAACCATCCACGTTATTTTAATTTAGGCATTTAATTTGATAAGGGCAGCAATTAATTTGGGCAACTGATTGAATTACGATTGCTGGGCTATTGTTGGATTTTGGAAGCAACAGATTAAAGAAGAAAAACAAAAGACGAGAAATGACAGCAAGACGTGGAAAACCATTTGCTTTCCACATCACTTAGCATCTTCAGTCAAACAAGGGTGTAACAGACAATAGCATGTTCTAGAATGCTTTTGGCTTCGGTGGGATGATGATACATACAAATAATATGGTTATAACTGAGATAGCTCTAATTCAGGAACAAAATCCCCACCCCTCCCCAAAACCTACTAACCAATGACTCTAAGGTGTTCCAGCAAAGATTGGATTTTTTTTTTTTTTTTGCTGGTTTGAGAACATTAATATACAGAACCACAGTTTTTATTTTAACCTGGTTTCTGAGAGGAAAAAAAAAGGGATTTTGATAGCAAAAGTAGGTTTTCCTTGAAAATGATGCCACCAACGCTCTCCCTTGGTTAAGAGACTCAGCGCACAGGGAAACGTTTTTTTTTTTCCCCAACACATCGGACATTAAAAGAAAAAAGACCAAAACAACAACAACAAAAACCTTCCTATGATGCTCTTGAATCTTAAAAACAACAACAGCAAAACCCAAATAATAGTACGAAAAGAACATCAAAAGTAACAGGAGCCATCAATTGTTGATGGATGGTTGTGTTTCGCAGCTTGTGGAAAGTTCTAGAAAGTCGTAACAGACTTCACTCCGCCCTGCCCCAGCTGAAGTTCTTAAGATCACTTGATTAGAAGGTGGCTCCTCCTTGGTGCTTGGTAGTTTCGAAACTTCCAGACAGCACGTGACAAGCTATTTCCTGTCATCAACTTTGTGCTGAAGATTCTTCAAAGGGCTGTTGTGTTTTTGTTGTTTGTTTTTATAAATAACACAATATTTTAAACGAGTCTTCTTGGGTGTGTTTACACCATATTGTTGCTTTCTCCCATTTTATCTACAAACTGCAAGAAGAAAAGCAGCATTAGAGACCCCCTAGAGATTGCAGGCTCACACGATTCAACTCCATAAAAAGGTTGCTTTAAGAAAAAAAATCCAGCTTTACAAGAAGGTTCGTGGAAAGTTTGGATGACTGACAACGGTTAAATTAGGTACTACTTACTGCCATCTTCCCAACGTACATGTCTACAAAACATTTTGTTCTAAAAAAGTTGTCTTTGCATGACACGGTATACGGATGAATTTAAGAGTGCAACATGACAAAAAAAAACAAAAACAAAAAACCCAAAAACCAATGCAACACAATAAATAAAATGGACACTGATTATAATGAAGTCAACATCGTTAGCTTAACAAAAAAATAAATAAAACAAAATTGAAATGTCAGCCACTCATGCATTAATGAGCCCAGTAAGATATTTCAACTGACCATCAAGTGCTGTCTCTTCTTGGCCTATGCTGTCTTTGAACAAACAGATTTCACTCCGTTAAAGTTCAACAGTTAACAGCAGCTACTGACTAAGGAAGATCATTTTTAAATGCATATTCGGACTTTACACTAAATGGCATGGCATTAAAATACATTTACATGTTGCAAACATACATTTGTACTAGATTAGATATTCACTTGCACACACATTCAGGGGATTGACTTGTTACTCTTTCTGCCCCTTCCCTACCACAAAAAGAGAAATTTCATTTTTCTTAGCAGTCTGAGTGCCATGATATAATTATAGTAGCGATATTAAACACACTGGGTTACAAGACCCACAGTTACAATCTTGTATGTGTGTGTGTGTGTGTGTGTGTGTGTGTGTGCGCGTGCCAGTCTTGGGACTTGAACTCAGGGCCTGAGCTCTTTCACTTAAGGCTGGCGCTCTACCACTTGAGCCACAGCACCATTCCCACTTTTCTGGTGGTTCATTGGAAATGAGAGTCTCATGGACTTTCCTTCCCAGGCTGGCTTCAAACTGCGATCCTCAGATCTCAGCCTCCTGAGAAGCTGGGATGACAGGCGGGAGCCACCAGCGCCCAAACCTGAATTTGTTTTGTTTTTTTGGTTCAAGGCTGTCTTTTGATCACTTGAGCCACAGCTCCACTTCCAGCTTTTTGGTGGTTCACTGGAGATCGGAGTCTCATGGACTTTCCTGCCTGGGCTGGCTCTGAATCTTAATCCTCAGATCTCAGCCTCCCGAGTAGCTGGGATGACAGGAATGAGCCACCAGCGCTCTGTTCAAAAATTTCTTTTCTTTTTTCCCTTTCAGTCTTTTTTACTCAGGCACTGATTATAATGAAGTAATGATATCAAGATACATTGTTTTAAGCAAGATTCTTCTAATGTCGATGACTACAGATTTCAACAAACCCCAAAGTCTTTGTGAACATCAACAAACATTACTACTATGGGCGTCTGGAGATGAATGCAAGTAAATTCAGGATGTAACCCAATGAGCCTAGCCCAGTTTAGTTCATTTTCTTTCTTTTTTTTTTTCATGGTACTACAGTGCAAACTCAGGGACTCATGCTTGCTAGGCAGGAGCTCAACCACTAGAGACACGCTTCCAGTCCTCTTTTGCTCTGGTTATTATTCTTTTGGTAGACTGTGGGACTTGAACTCAGGGCCTGAGTGCTGTCCCTGAACTCTTTCACTCAAGGCTGGTGCTCTACCACTTGAGCCACAGCTCCACTTCTGGTTTTCTGGTGGTTTAGTGGAGATCAGAGTCTCATGGGCTTTCCTGCCCTGGCTGGCTTTGAACTGTGATCCTCAGATCTCAGCCTCCTGAGTAGCTGGGCTGACAGGTACCTCTTATTTTTAATACTGTAGCCTCTACCCTTAGAGGCAGCTACTGCTGGCGATTTGAGTCAACATTAAAAAATAGACAAGAGTAGTAAAAAAGGGATACAATGAGGGACTATTTCAGGTTTGATAAGCAGAAGCAGTGATTCTTGTCTGCTAGTCACCGTCACTTTGAGCCCAGAGATGCAATCTTTTATATCAGAATGGAAACGTTCTGGAATCTACCATCTGTTGATGGCTCCAATTTCTACAAGTGAAAAAGCGTGGCGCTGTTTTTCTTTTTGGGTGGTTTAAAATCGACGGCTGAAGATGTGGTTACTTACTGATCTAATTCCAGGCAGATTTAAGAGAGACCCAAGAACTGGTACTCTTCTAATAAAGCCAATCACCACTGGAAAGAAACCCCTGGGAGATGGGAAAGAAAACATGGAAAAAGTTATTAACACTCGGCAAGGCTTCAAAGCAAGTTGAAGAGAAAGATCTGTTGGATGTCGGTGGCTCCTGCCTATAATCCTAGCTACTCAGGAGGCTGAGATCCGAGGATCACAGTTCAGAGCCAGCCTGGGCAGGAAAGTCCTTGACATGCTTATCTGCAATAAACCACCAAAAAAGTTGGCATGGAGCCGTGGCTCAAGTGGTAGAGCACCAGCCTTCAGGGAAAAAGCTAAGGTACAGCGCCCAGGCCCTGAGTTCAAGCCCTGGTACTTCTGAGTATCTTGAGTTTCAAAAATAAATAAGATAAAAATAAAGCCAATGCATAGGAGATGAACTTTTCCTGGGTCTTAAAACTAAGTACACAGAGTGAAAATATTTGAATGGTACAATTAAGAATATGAATCTGTGGAAAGGCAAAATCAATGGATCAAAATAAAGTCAAATAAAGAAAGCAACATTTTTTTAAAAAAAGAAACAGGTCTCTTATGATTTTCTAGTAGTATTAAATTCAAAAGGATTTTTTTCCCCTTCTTCTCAAGGCTGGCATTCTACCACTTGAGCCACAGCTCTTCTTCTGGCTTTTTGGTGGCTAATTAATTGGTGATAAGAATCTCATGGATTTTCCTGCCCAGGCTGGTTTTACATCTGGATCCTTAGATCTCGGCCTCCGGAGCAGCTAGGATTACAGGCATGGCGCACTGGGGCCTGGCTTGAGATTTGAGATTCTTGAGAGCCGATTTAGCATTTAATTCTTTCTCTTCTGTATCTCAGGGAAAATTCAGAGTCATGGGTAGAGGAGAAGAGGGATATGCACCTCTTGAATAAACAATGCAGACCAACTATACTTGCAAGTATTTTCTCTTTTCCATGCTATTTACTTACTAACTAGCTCTTTCCAAACGTGAACTCCACAAAATTGGCTAGTGTGTGCAATACTGACTTTTCCACTGTGTGTAGACACTAATGACACTGCGATGGACAGTCTGTAATGGTAAAGTGCCAGATATTTACACTGAAATCTACCTTTCCCTATCAATGCATGAATTTAGTCATTTATTACCCGTCTACCTATCTTATTCATCCAGCTATCAGTCTATCTACTCCATCTACCATCTAACGACCTGTCTACTTATTCTGTCATTCCACTCTCTCCCTCCAGTTATTAGAAACACCAAAATCAGTGTATTAAAAATGCCAACAAAATGCACTTTACTGCACTGAAAATACAAGGGCAGTTTATACCCTTCCTAAAGCAGTCTATATCAAATAGTCTATATCTATATTCTGCAAACATTTTTATAATTGACGGATCTCCAATTATAAGAAGAGAAGGGAGAGAATGAGCGCAGGGATTACACTGTCCCAAAAGAAATGTCCTCATTACCTGACTTAGGAAACAGTAACCCCTCTGTACATCACCTTTACAATAACAAGAACAGACATAAAAGAAGACTCAACCCAAACAGAAGAGCACCGGAATACGGTGAACACGGGCACCTGTGCAGGAGTTGCCTGACAGGCTCGCTTCCTACCGGGAAAGAAAGTGGCCACCTCACCTGAATAAAAGAAAGAATCCATAGATTTCGAAGATCATTCCTATCAAAGGCCAGCCGACCAGGACCACAAGCACACCGCCCAGGAAAAAGCCCGTGGCTTTCATTTTATGTTTCTGGAAGAAGAATCTGAACGTTCTCTCTAAACCAATGACAAAAGCCAAACCAGCCACAAATAAAACCTGGGAAAGAGAGAAAACAACAACACAGGAAAAGAGTAGTCTATACATACTGCATAAATATGAGAGGGCACAGCCATGAATGTACGTAAAGGGAGTGAATCTGTTGGAATTTTATCCATCCATCCATCCACCAACCAACTCATCCATCCATCAACTCCCCCATCCATCCATCCATCCATCTGTCCATCCATCCATCTGTCCATCCATCCATCCATCCATCCACCCATCCACCCACCAACTCATCCACCCACCAACTCATCCACCCACCAACTCATCCATCCACCAACTCATCCACCCACCAACTCATCCATCCATCAACTCCCCCATCCATCCATCCATCCATCCATCCATCCGTCCATGCATGCATGCATGCATGCATGCATCTATCCACCCACCCATCTATCCATCCATGCACCAATCCCTCCATCTACCCAGCTATTCACTCACCCAACATCCATCCACCCATCCATCCATTCTTGTGCCAGTGTTGGGGCTTGAACTCAAGAGTCTCACATACTCTCGCTTGGCATTTTTGCCCAAGGTTAGTGCTCTACCACTTGAGCCACAACTCCACTTCTGGCTTTTTGGTGTCTGACTGGAGCTCAGAGTTCCCTGGACTTTCCCGCCTGGGCGGGCTTCCAACTGTGATCTGCAGATCTCAGCCTGCTGAGTAACTGGGATTACAGGTGTGAGCCGCCGGTGCCTGGCTGGCTCCCATGTGTTTGCCATGAGCCTTGGGAGTGTCTGTGGACAGGGGAGAGGCAGTCCAGCTAGGAGGACAGTGGAAGGAAGAATGCAAAGCCTGGAAGATGATGGTTTCATGAGTCCCACGAGCCTGGTGGCTGGAGAAATAACAACACACCCAGCGATTTCCAAACACTCCTATTTTCTCCACGACCTCCTGTCTGTGTGCAAGTCCTGGCGACTAATGAAAATCTCTGTGTGTCTGTTGGGCACCCACAGCGCACGCCTGTCATCCCAGCTACTCAGGAGGCTGAGATCCGAGGATTGCAGTTGGAAGCCAGCCTGGGCAGAAAAGTTTGTGGGAAGGCCACAGAGGCTGGGTGGCCCTGAGTTAGAATCCCAGTACTGACATGAGCACGCGCGCACGTGCACACACACGTGCGCACACACACACACGTGCGCACACACACACACGTGCGCACACACACACACACACACACACATGTGCACAAACACACCCTGTTTATTTTATCCAGTTCAATCCAATCTGACATCTCAGAAGTTTACAGTCAGAGAATTCTGGAACTTACCAGAATACTTAATTTTTAATAAAACTTGTTTTAATTACAGCCATTTTACTTTTCCTTTCTCTTCCTGTACTAGCTGCAGGAATGACAATACTATTCACAGGGTGAAAACCACAATACTGCTTTTTTTGATCGGGCAAGCACTATCAATCAGGTCATTCATTTGGGAAGTCCTACTTAGAGTCTGCTTCCCTTGAACACATTACAAATACCTGACATAGTTAAGGAATTAAAGCTTAAGTGTTTATCTTCTATCTAAGCTGCTGACAGGTTTGGCTCCTCACTGAGAGAGAGCGAGAGAGAGAAACGATGTCAAAGTAATTATGCGTGAGTCACAGTGAGTCATTTCTCCCAAATTGGACAGAGGGTAAAATGTGGAGGTAAAACTTAATCTTATGAGCCAGGGACCAGTGGCTTACTCCTGTCATCGTAGCTATCCAGGAGTCTGAGATCTGAGGACCGGGGTTTGAAACCAGCCTGGGCAGGAAAAGTCCTTGAGACTCTTATCTTCAATAAAGCACCAAAAAGCCAAAAAGGGAGCTGTGGATCAAGTGGAAGAGTGCCAGCCTTGTGGAGAAAAGTTTAGGGATGGTGTCCAAGCCCCAAGTACCAAAAATCAACTAAACACACATCTCACCCCCAAAACTTCCTTATAAATTGAGATGAAATAAATACATCGAGACACTCACATTTCCGATGGCCAATAGGGCTTTGTCAAAGAAGAGAATCATCCCAAAGAACAGGAAGAAAACTCCAAACCCGGTGAGGCCCATGCCAATTTCTGCAATGTTAAGTTCTGTGGTTAGGGAAGCAGAAAAAGATGAGCTTCGTGCTCATCCCTGTAAGCTCAGAAAAGTTTTCCTCTGGCAGACACAAGGAACCAGATCTCCCAAATTGCAGGTGAACTCCAACAGGACACTGATTAAGATCTGTGATAGCCAGGCGCTGGTGGCTCACACCTGTCATCCCAGCTACGCAGGAGGCTGAGATCTGAGGACCGAGGTTCGAGGCCAGCCTGCGCAGGAAAGTCTTTGAGACTCTTATCTCCAATGAACCACCACAAAGACAGAAAGTGGAGCTGTTTTTCAAGTCAAAAAGCTAACAGGCGGCCGAGTTCAAACCCTAGGAATAACGGTAGTCACAACAAATGAAATAAATAAATAGAAATCAACTAGACACCAATGCAATAAGTACCAAGGTAGAATGTTTTTCACCACGACAAAATGCAGTAGCAACTTAAGACACGTGGAAAACACCTCCACCCGGCTCACGCTCTGGAATGAATCTTGGCTTTTCTTCTTGTTTCTTTTATACAGGGGGATGGTGCCATTACAGAATTCCCTTACACAATGCTCTGGCCTTGGGCAGGGCCTGGCCACGCCCCCAGCAGCGCCTAGCCACGCCCCCACCTCTTGCAAGTCAGCAGAATGAAGGCTGGTTCCTCACGAATTGCTTCGCAGTTCCATCTACAGCGGAGTGACACCAGACCTTCTTTGCTTATGCTACTCTAGTCAAAGTGTCTCACTTTCTTTAGTTCTGGTCCTGGGGCTGGAACTCAGGGCCTGGGTGCTTCCCAAAGCTCATGCTCTACCGCTTGCGCCACACCCCCACTGCTGGCTCTTTGGTGGTTCGTTGGAGATCAGAGTCTCCCGGACTTTCCCTGCCCCGGCTGGCTTTGAATCACGATCCTCCAGACCTCAGCCTCCTGTGTCGCTGGGATGACAGGCGGGAGCCATGGTGCTTGGCTTTGCTCTTGGACTTTGGAAGGATGTGAATCAACACACTCATCCTTGTAAGTCTTCAATTCCAGAGAATCTTTGTGCACAGGCTAAATCCTATTTTTCAACCTCACACTGCCCTCAGATTCCCCCAAGATCTCAGGCTTAATCACGTGTCTTCTTGGATGCTAGTGGGGTACAGTGAAAAGCACAGACCATTATTTTTTTTTTAAATCAGTCCTGTGGCTTGAACTCTGGGCCTGGGCGCTGTCCCTCAGCTCTTCAGCTCAAGGGGAGCACTCTACCACTTGAGCCACAGCGCCACTTCCGGATTTTCTGGTGGCTTATTGGAGATAAGAGTCTTACAGACTTTTTTGCCCTGGCTGGGTTTGAACCTTGATCCTCAGATCTCAGCCTCCTGAGTAGATAGGATGACAGGCATGAGCCACCGGCGCCTAGCAGCACAGACATTTTTAACAGCAGAAGTAGGAGCAAGCCTGATTTCTGCCACTTTTCTTATGATGATGTATTGAGTTTCTTTTGCAGCTCAATTTATCGGGTTTGCAAGGCTCATAAAATAATTAAGCAGACTGATTTATATGGAAGCACATGGCAAAAAGCATGAGTATGCTTCCATTCAATTGCCAGAAATGATAGATCAGAAAATAAGTAAATAAATAAATGCGTGCATGCCACTCACGCCTGCCATCCCAGCTACTCAGGAGGCTGAGATCTGAGCATCATGGTTTGATGCCATCCCAGTGAGACTTTTATCTCCAATGAACTGGCAAAAAGCCCAAAGTGGAGCTCTGACTCAAGTGGTAGTGCACCAGCCTTGAACAACAACAACAAAAAAAACCTCAGGGACAGCGCCCAGGCCCTGAGTTCAGGCCACAGGACCCACACAGACTCACAAAACAAGAAAAGACAAGTAATCCTTAAGATCACCACAAAGGAGTAGAAAAATGGCAATGTCCTATTGAAAGAAAAGGAAACACTGTAATGCTAACTTAGAAATGAAAGGCCCAGCCGGGTGCCAGAGGCCCACACCTGTCATCCTAACTACTCAGGAGGCTGAGATGGGAGGATCGTGGTTTGAAGCCAGCCAGGGCAGAAAAGTCCCCATGAGACTCTTACCTTCAACGAACCACTCCGAAACCCGAAGTGGTGCTGTAGCTCAAGTGGTAGAGCGCCAGCCCTGAGCACGAAGAGGTTCAGGGCCAGCACCCCAGACCCTGAGTTCAAGCTCCACAACCAACCAAAAGAAAGAAGGAAAGAAATGGAACAAGGCGCAGAGAATCCTGGACGGAGGGATGCGGACACAATAACAGCTATAGCCAAGCCCAAAATTCACTTCTTGTAGAAGAAGTTGGGGTGACACTGACCGAGACGCGCTGTCCGCCTCATCTGACTGGTGGAACTGGAACCCTTTGAGGAAGAGCAAGAAAGAAGAACAAGACAGGAAGGGGGAAAAGGAAAGGGAAGAGAGGTAGGTAGCTAAATTGATGGAAGAAGAAGGGAGAAAGATGAAGAGGTAGATAAATACAGAGATGGATGAAGAGATAGACAGATAAGAGATGGATGGATGGATGGATGCACAGACAGACAGCTAGCTATCCGGGATGGATGGGAAGGGGCCTCAGCCTTGCAGGGCAGGAAGAACCGTTTGGCTGGTGACATGGCTGGCCACGTGCGCTGCTGTTGGACGGGCCTGGCCATCAGCCCAGCCGCATCCACAATTCTGCAGGACGCGGCCACCAGGCCATACATATCCTCTTGGTTCTTGGCTGGGGGAGGGGGACAAAGAAAAGTGGGGGGGAGAGAGAGAGAGACCCCGCCCCCTCCCTTCATCCATCCATTTCCTCCTCAACGTCGCAACCCCTGTTGAAAACGTGGATTAAAAAGCCACACAAAGTCAACCACCACCAACCACCCCCCAAACCCCACAAAAATCCAGGGGGGCTGGGGGTGGTGGGTGGGTGTGCTTGATTGTCAAAAGGGAAAAGCCACTGCGCCCCAACCCTGGGGGGGAGGCACTGATCATTTATTCACTCACCACATTGGAGCAACCTCCTACCACCCCCCCATTGCCCGCCCCTCCACTGACCCCCCCAGCCCCCCACTGCCCCCTCCTCCCAGACCCCCAACGACCCCCATTGCCCGCCCCTCCACTGCCCCCCCAGCCCCCACTGCCCCACCCCCAGCCCCCCACTGACCCCCATTGCCCCGCCCCCAGCCCCCCCACTGCTCCCCATTGCCCTGCCCCTCCAGTGTCTCCCACTGACCCCACCAACCCCCTCACTGCCTTACCCCCCAGCCCCCCCCACTGCCCCCCATTCTCCTGCCCCCAGCCCCCCACTGCCCCACCCCAGCCCCCCACTGACCCCCATTGCCCCGCCCCCAGCCCCCCACTGCCCTAACCCGCAGCCCCCCACTGCCCCCAGCCCCCCCCATTGACCCCATTGCCCCTCCCCCCAGCCCCCCCACTGCCCACCCCCAGCCCCCCCAATGAACCCCGGCTCGCAGCGCACGTGACATCTGTCATGTGCCCCCTCGACCATCCGGCTGGGTTCAGGGGACCCACGGCGGGGGGGGGGGCTCCGGGCCCGGGCGGATCCCGGGGTCCCCGCGGCGGGAGCCCCCCTGCCCCCGCACCCCGGCTCGGCCCCCCCGGCCCCGGCCCCCCTTCCCCCCCCCCCCCCGGCCCGGGCGGCGCTCACTCTGGGTGTCCGTCAGGGAGATCATGATTGCGGCGGCGACGCCCCGAAGCCGAGGGCGAGGAGAAGCGGGGCGCCGGGCGCGGGGGGCGGAGGAAGCCGGGAGCCCCGCGAGCGCCGGCCGCCACGTCTTCCGGAAACACGCAGCCGGCCGCACCCCGCCTACAAGGCCCGGCGCCACTGGCCGCGCGCGCTCCCGCGCCCGGCCAATCCGCCGCGGCCTTGCTGCAGGCCGCGCCGCCGGCCCCGCCCCCCGCACGGCGCGCGGCGGCGATTGGTCCGCCCGGCCGACCCGGAAGCGCCGCGGCGCCGGGCCGGTGGCGCCAAGATTCGTGGAGGCGGCGGACGTCGCGGGGCGCGGGGCGCGGGGCGCGGGGCGCGGGGCGCGGGGCGCGGGGCGCGGGGCGCGGGGCCCACGCGGGGCTCGGCGCGAGGTCACAGCGCTCGGGGCCTAAGTTGGGGTTCAGGTGAGGGCACTGCATTCGGGGTTCGGGGTTCAGGTGAGGGCACTGCATTCGGGGTTCGGGGTTCAGGTGAGGGCACTGCATTCGGGGTTCGGGGTTCAGGTGAGGGCACTGCATTCGGGGTTCGGGGTTCAGGTGAGGGCACTGCATTCGGGGTTCAGGTGAGGGCACTGCATTCGGGGTTCAGGTGAGGGCACTGCATTCGGGGTTCAGTAGGGGTTCAGGTGAGGTCACTGCATTCGGGGTTCAGTAGGGGTTCAGGTGAGGGCACTGCATTCGGGGTTCAGTAGGGGTTCAGGTGAGGTCACTGCATTCAGGGTTTGGGGTTCAGGTGAGGTCACTGCATTCGGGGTTCAGTAGGGGTTCAGGTGAGGTCACTGCATTCGGGGTTCAGTAGGGTTCAGGTGAGGTCACTGCATTCGGGGTTTAGTAGGGGTTCAGGTGAGGGCACTGCATTCGGGGTTTAGTAGGGGTTCAGGTGAGGGCACTGCATTCGGGGTTCAGGTGAGGTCACTGCATTCGGGGTTTGGGGTTCAGGTGAGGGCACTGCATTCGGGGTTCATGTGAGGGCACTGCATTCGGGGTTTAGTAGGGGTTCAGGTGAGGGCACTGCATTTGGGGTTCAGTAGGGTTCAGGTGAGGGCACTGCATTTGGGGTTCAGTAGGGTTCAGGTGAGGGCACTGCATTCGGGGTTCAGTAGGGTTCAGGTGAGGGCACTGCATTCGGGGTTCAGTAGGGGTTCAGGTGAGGTCACTGCATTCGGGGTTTGGGGTTCAGGTGAGGGCACTGCATTCGGGGTTTAGTAGGGGTTCAGGTGAGGGCACTGCATTCGGGGTTCAGTAGGGGTTCAGGTGAGGGCACTGCATTCGGGGTTTAGTAGGGGTTCAGGTGAGGGCACTGCATTCGGGGTTTAGTAGGGGTTCAGGTGAGGTCACTGCATTCGGGGTTTGGGGTTCAGGTGAGGTCACTGCATTCGGGGTTCAGTAGGGGTTCAGGTGAGGTCACTGCATTCGGGGTTCAGTAGGGTTCAGGTGAGGTCACTGCATTCGGGGTTTGGGGTTCAGGTGAGGGCACTGCATTCGGGGTTCAGGTGAGGGCACTGCATTCGGGGTTTAGTAGGGGTTCAGGTGAGGGCACTGCATTCGGGGTTCAGTAGGGTTCAGGTGAGGGCACTGCATTCGGGGTTCAGTAGGGGTTCAGGTGAGGTCACTGCATTCGGGGTTTGGGGTTCAGGTGAGGGCACTGCATTCGGGGTTTAGTAGGGGTTCAGGTGAGGGCACTGCATTCGGGTTCAGTAGGGGTTCAGGTGAGGGCACTGCATTCGGGGTTTAGTAGGGGTTCAGGTGAGGGCACTGCATTCGGGGTTCAGGTGAGGGCACTGCATTCGGGGTTTAGTAGGGGTTCAGGTGAGGTCACTGCATTCGGGGTTTGGGGTTCAGGTGAGGTCACTGCATTCGGGGTTCAGTAGGGGTTCAGGTGAGGTCACTGCATTCGGGGTTCAGTAGGGTTCAGGTGAGGTCACTGCATTCGGGGTTTGGGGTTCAGGTGAGGGCACTGCGTTCGGGGTTCATGTGAGGGCACTGCATTCGGGGTTTAGTAGGGGTTCAGGTGAGGGCACTGCATTCGGGGTTCAGTAGGGGTTCAGGTGAGGTCACTGCATTCGGGGTTTAGTAGGGGTTCAGGTGAGGGCACTGCATTCGGGGTTTAGTAGGGGTTCAGGTGAGGGCACTGCATTCGGGGTTTAGTAGGGTTTCGGGGTTCAGGTGAGGGCACTGCATTCAGGGTTTAGTAGGGGTTCGGGGTGCGGGGCGTGGTCTCGAGGCAGAGGTCAGGGCCCGGAGCGCTGACCCCGGTTCTCCTGACCGCCGCCCCCAGCCCCCCAACGGCTGCTGCCCCTCAGGACTGTGCCGTGCTGCTGTAGAGTGTGGCAGAGCCGCCGTCTGCAGCCTCAGCCGATGCATTCTACACCCGGAAAGCTCCCACCGCTCAGCTGGGGGTTTTGGGGGAAGAGCCACATAACCAAAACAGTCGAGTCCACAAACGGAAGGGCAGGCTCCCGGTGTCACCCTGTAATCCCGGCTACGCAGGGGGCTGAGATCTGACCTTCAGGGCTGGAAGCCAGCTAGGGCAGGAAAGGCCCTGAGCCTATCACCAAGAAACCACCCCCAGAAAGCCCCAAGTGGAGCTGTGGCTCAGATGGTAGAGGGCCTGCCTGGAGCCCAAGAGCTTCCTGAGGGGCTGGGATGACAGGCGTGAGCCACAGCACCCGGCTCAACGTTTTTGTTGTTAATTCTTCCCGAGGTTCTGGGGACTCAAAGAAGCACTTTATAATACTCTGTACTTCTAGTTCCTGTTCTCCCCCAGCTGCATTCCTGACTGAAATAGTATTGTTGCGTTTTGTTGTTGTTGTTAATTATGGTTTTTTTGTCTCCATTTCATAGAAGGAAATTTGATCTCCAGTTCCATTTTAGAATGGCGTCGCTTTCAGGTTAGTGGATGTAATTCCTCTTCATAGTTTCTTTCTGTTCCCTTTCAAGTTGCGTGCTTTTGATTTTTTTTAAAAGAGATTTGGGTTACAGATTCTGATTCTAGAAATGGCAGCTTTTTCCACCATGGTGAAAGGTACACAACACTTGGCGTTTGACTAAGGTTAGGTGCTGGTGGCTCCCGCCTGTCACCCCAGCTACTCAGGAGGCTGAGATCCGAGGACTGCAGTTCCAAGCCAGCCTGGGCAGGAAAATCCATGAAGACCCTTTATCTCCAATGAACCAGCGAAAAACCGGAAGTGGAGCCGTGGCTCAAGTGGTCAAGCTCCAGGCTTTGAGCACACTAATTCAGGGACAGCGCCTAGGCCCTTGAGTTCAAGCCCTAGGAGACGCACACAGTGGACTAACTCCCTGTGGTCAACTGCTTTCTCTGCCTCGCAGCGCTCACCGAAGAACTGGAATCTGTCACCAGCGAGCTCCATGCAATTGAGCTGCAAATCCAAGAACTGAGCCAGAGGCAGGAAGAACTTCTTCAGAAAAAGTCCGTCCTGACCAAGAGGATAAAGCAGTGTTGCCAGGACTCTGGCGCCGGGACAAGTACTGAGGGGGACTCTTCCCCTGCCGCTTGGAATAAAGAAGGTTTCCTCTTTCTTTCCTTTTTTTTGGGGCTGGGGAGCAGCCCTGGACTTGAACTCAGGGCTGGGCGCTGTCCCTGAGCTCTTTCACTCAAGGCTGGTGCTCTACCACTTGAGCCACAGCGCCACCTCTGGTTCTCTGGTGATTCATTGGAGATCAGAGTCTCATGGACTTTCCTGCCCGGGCTGGCTTTGAACCACAGTCCTTTGATCTCAGCCTCCTGAGTAGCTAGGATGACAGGTGTGAGCCACTGGCAGCTTCCTTTATTTTTAATTTTTGATGCCAATACTGGGACTTGAACTCGGGGTCTCAAAGCTGGTGCTCTATCACTTGAGCCACGACTCTGCTTCTAGGTTTTTAGTGGTTCATTGGAGATAAGAGTCTCATACGCTTTTCTCCCTGGGCTGGCTTGCAATGGTGATCCTCGGATCTCAGCCTCCTGAGCAGCTGGGATGACAGGCGGGGCCCCCAGAGCTCAGCCTGCAATGCCATTTCAATTCACTTCACTTTGCTGGCATAGCTGGGTGACAGTCATTTCAGCCTTCTGATGATCAACGGTTATAAATCTGACCCCGATTGGCCTCGCAGTCACTCCTGGATTATCACCCTCATCTTTCTCTCCCTTTCCAGATTTCCCTTGGTCGAGTAAAGTTAAAGATGTTCTGAAAAACGTCTTTAAACTGCCGAAGTTCCGACCCCTTCAACTTGAAACAATTAACGTGACCATGGCCGGGAAGGAAATATTTCTTCTTATGCCAACGGGAGGAGGAAAGAGTTTGTGCTACCAGTTACCTGCGTTGTGTTCAGAGGGTGTGTGCCAAGAACTTCCCACTGAAATCATTTCTCTAAACAGATAAATATACATTGTGCCTGTGCCGGGACTTGAACTCAGGACCTGGGCGCTGTCCCTGAGCTTTTTGCTCAAGGCGAGGCGCTCTACCTCTTGAGCCACAGTGCCACTTCTGGTTTTCTGGTGGTTCATTGGAGATGAGAGTCTCATGGACTTTCCTACCCAGGCTGGCCTTGAACCTTGATCCTCAGATCTCAGCCTCCTGAGTAGCTGGGATGACAGGCGTGAGCCACCGGTGCCTGGCTTTAAATTCGATTTTGATTTTCTCTTTTAGGTTTTACACTGGTGATTTGCCCGTTGATCTCTCTGATGGAGGACCAGTTAATGGTTTTAAAACAATTGGGAGTGTCGGCCGCCATGTTAAACGCTTCTAGTTCCAAGGTATATGTGAGCGGATTATTGTTCTCTTAGTTTAAACTCTGCACTGAAATACAGCTACGGTTGAGGAGCCTTTAAAATCCTAAACTGTTCTATCTGTGCATTACAGACTGTCTCACGAGCTAAGAGTGGTTTTATGGGTTCTGTGGGGTTGGTTGGTTTGTTTCTTTTGGTTCCAGGACTGGGGCTTGAACTCAGGGCCTGGGCGCTACCCCTGAGCGTGGTTGCTCTAAGTTAGCACTCTGCCACTCGAGCCACAGCGCACTGTTTTATCTGTCCAGGGAAATAATGCTTGTAAGGTCAGCAGTGAAC